ATGATCGTAACCGATGGTTAGAGACACTGAGCGATATGGCTGGGTGTCGTAAACAGTGGCGTTCGTGCATCTCCTCAATTTCTTCCCAACCTTAGTCTACTGGACTTCTCCATTTTCCTTTCGAATCCACTTTCAACTTTCCTTTCTTCTCCTATTCTTCATCCCTATGGGCAGCCAAAAGACAGCAACCAAAACCGGCGCACGAAAGTGCATGGTTAATGGTTGTTCAAACTGAACTAAACTGGTAGGGTTGTGAAAGTTTCCAAATGAATTATAATTCTAGAGGCTAGTGCTGAAATAAGCGAGGTCCGTTACCCGCAACAAGCTCACAAAGATGGGTTTTACTATATTGTGTAAATGAAAAATTAAAAAAAACTTGAGTTACCTGTCCGGTGGCCGAGTGGGTAGCATGATTACTTTCTGCTTATGAGGTCCCGGGTTCGGTCCCTAGTTGGGTCGATGGATTCACGCTGCCGATGAGACCCAACCAGGTCAAAACAGTTGTACAATGTTTCCTAGCTTTTCAGTTCATGCGTCATTGCTATATACGCGACGAATTCCATCTATGAGATATATAGTTGTTGTTACCTTTTCCATAATATATATATATATATAGTGCTTGGTTCTAATCACCCCAACTCACTTGATATTTCTCTTTTGCACATTTCTGGATTCAAGGCTCCCCTGTTTGTGGATCTACTGGGAACTTGTCATGATTTGAACGAGCAACCACACCATCTGACAATGCAACATTTGAACAGAAAAGCAATGTTCAAAACGATTCGAGCAGAAGGGGACACCAAACAAGTAACGTTTGACTACCAGTGATTGCCTAAAGTAAAGAAAAGCAATGGCACTTGTCAACAGGCAATGTTACTGAGAAATTTAATACAATTTATGTTACTCGCCTATTTATTGTTTCAACATCTGAATCAAACCTTCGGGAGCACCACGAATCCAGCATTTTGATTAGGACTCATGTTTGCCCACTAAATCATGCATTGCTTTTTAGAACGATTGGTTAATCTAATTAATATTGAAGTTTATCGGTCTAACATCTGACGGCAAGATAAGCAAAATGCATGTGATCCGTCAGAACCTTTGGCACGGACTTGAAAAAATCCTGACAGTTTATCGAAGAGCACCATTTATCGATATCTGGCGGTATTTAGATCTTAGTTCACCATTCGCCACAAAACGTATCACTGAACTTCCCCGGTTTGTTAAAATACAAAATAGTAACTAATATAGCAACGCTCCATGAGTTTTTGGTGAAGCTCCATAAGTTAGGCTATGCTTGTTAATATGGAGCGGTGGTTTCGAATTCCAAGACGGATTATCTTCACTAGCTGCGTAAGTTAATGAAAGCTGATGCATGCTGACGAGGAACGTTCTCTATGGCTCATCTCCATGTCTGATAGAAACCGTTCACAATGTTTCGGTCAGACTTGCTGAGATATATTCCGTATTATTGTTACAGGTTTATTAGTTGATCTATTGGGTAAGCGGTTCAAGTTAATTTCGTTGCTGAAGTGTCCGACCGATGCGAGAGGAATAGTCATTGTCATTCTCACGGATGAATAATCTTGGTTTACTTATAGGATTGAACGCAATGAAGACGATGCCAAATCAGAAGTTTCAATTATTAGGCCCGGCCTAAACAATTGTCGAAATGTTCTCCTAACGGTAGCACATCGAACAATGTTTCATGAAATCTGAAACAAAATGAAACCTGCGCAAAATGTGGACGTTGCAAATCATCACCATTTCGCACATTACTAGCATGCCACGTACAGGAAATGCATAGAAAGGATATGTTAGTATATTCTATATAAAACAGGCGGAAATGTTCAAGCAATCGGAATCGCTTAAGTGCATTCCAATCATATAGCTTCTTTCCATCAAGATATGAGATCATTTAAGGATTAGTCACAGTTTGATCACTAAAAAGCTTTTTCTCTTTTTCTAAACCTGCGTTTTAAATATTCGCTTGTTAACTCATCCTATTGGATACAAAATTGTGTTTTTTTCAGTTTGATTGTCTGTAAAATACACACCATTGGCGGGAAACTTGGTGAATATCCATGGAGATTTTTTCTGTTAGCCATGCAACGATCAACAGAGGGGTAAATCACAGCCAGGGGATGTACCGTTCACTTGTGATGGTTGGATGCTTAAGCTATGGGACTTGCAATGGTAAACCACATAAGAACTCATTAATATAGCCGTTGTATTCAGCCAGATTCAGCCACCAAATGCTGCCAAACAACAAAAGTGATATCGATATATGGTAAAAAATTTAAGTTTATGCGGTTCTGTTTTGGGGCTTATTTCATTGGAATATGATCACACATCCTATTGTGTGACTGATATGTGTGACGTGTACATTGTTACGTTCATTACTTTTCTCTCTTACATCCCAGCTTATGATTTTGAATAAAATGACACATCAATGTTCCTCTCACCCAATATTGCATGCATCAGCGTACTGATCACAGTCCTTCATCACCAGAATTGGCCAATCTTTGTGCCTTCGAAGAGTATGCTCGTGTGAAGCACATCATGGACAGAGTGGTATGTTTTATAGTTTCAGGTTTTATAACCGTTTGTTTAATTTCCAAACACGTATTACCTTGTTTATGACTTTTAGCATTTATTAACATAGATTGTAATAAGCCTAACAGAAAAAAGTAGGATTACTGGATCAAAAGGATCAAGTATCCATGTATCTGCTGCTAATTTCAGAAAAAGCTAATCACAAAAGAAATTTCTGTATAATTCGTGGTTCTTGCACAATAAATGCGAAGAAAATTCGTGGATTTAAAACCAGTTTGATAATAATTACTATTTAATTCAATTTAAAAAAATAAATTAAAATGCTGTATAGAGTATTACATATGGAATAATCTATTCGACTGTTCACAGACACAAGGTACTGTTAATAGTCTTGAGTGTGGGTTTCACTCCTTGAGAGATCGTTAATTATACCCTAGTTGATACTCTCAATTGCTTAAGCCGTTCGCAGGTGATGGCCATCGGCGGTGTTGCTCAGAGTAAGGGTTTGAAGTCACGATCTGAGTTATCGCGGTTCACATCCTGATAAGGTATACACTGTTGACGAGTCACAAACGGAAAAAAACAGACGTCTTTGTCTGTCATCCCAAATCTTTCCATCGCCTTCAAATGCCTAGTAAGATCACTTTCAGTTCAAGTTATCTCCTCAAATATTTTCAGGTTATAAATTTGCCTACTGAAACAGTACTTAGTAGGCAGATCAATAAATAACTTTTTGGAGTTATCAGTTCAACATGGAATGAATTGCAAACAAAATGCTGAACAATGAAACGACGTGGGCAGCCCAAGCTCATTGCGTTTTGGTTGCGTTTAAGGCAGACGAACCCATTGGGTGGGGTAGAAGAATTTATCAAAGCGAGTGAAGTACCTTGATACTTAGTGCCCCGCTGCATGAGATTAAAATCATCATTGGTGAAGACAATCAGACACTTTGTTTGATCTGAGTTGAACTAACTTCCTCCCATCTCTTGAGAAGAAATAAACTGTTGAGAGGGAAACAAAATAAAGTTGTTTTTCACGGCTGAACAAAACATTAATTTCTTTAAGTATGTTCAGGTTACTTCGGTTAGTTCTGAGCATCTTTATGCAACTTAATGGAACTTTCCAAGGATAACAGAATAAAGAAAAATCCAGAATTATGATTTCATTTTTTCAAAAATAAATCCAACGGTATATAAGAATAATTTTCTTTACTTAGAACGAATGAGAAACAACTTAAAGAAAGTACCACCAAAATGAAATTATTACATTTGACATTTACTTAATCAAATTAGCTTAATGTGAAATGATTCCAAACGCCCCAAATTCTTTCGATTGTATACAAAAGTTTGCTGTTATGTTTGCATACCATGTTTTCGACAGTGAGTAGACACCACGGTTGACATTTAGTGGTTTATGGTGGCATTTATGGGCTCATCTTGCTGAGCATCAATTTACCCGTTGTTTTGTTGGTACTGATAGTGTTCATGAGGGGGAAATTAACCCTCANNNTACTTTTTTCTGTGCAACAATGAATGGTTATTTTGAATAAACCTCCAAAACGCCGAATGTGAACGATGACGACGACAATAACAAGAGTAACAGCAAAGAGAAAAAGCAATATCAACGATATTATTAATTTTTATTTTTAGTATTATTATTTCCATTATGATTAAATCATTCCGAATTCGAGTTGTACATGGATACTTATTGATCCACCCATAATCTTTAGTTTTACGTTGTATTTTGTTACCAGACTGAAACACCGCCGATATCCGTCGATTCTGCTTACATCGAATTTACATCCAGTCCGGAACGGGTTCGACAATCAGTGCGTTGT